GTATAAAAAGAATACCCTTCTTGATGGATGGACTCCATCTAAATACCTGGGATACTAAACTTCTAGAATTAAGTACACAAAAAATAAGAGTTATTTTTACTCTCTAGATACTAACTATGTATGAACGTCTTGATTTTTCAAGAGAGGTTTAAATTTTCCAGAGGAGTTAAGAATATTAATGATCATATGCATTAGTTATAGCTTTACATTTTCAAAGTGCTAAATTAGGAAAAAAAGATTTAGAAATTAGGATATTAAAATCAGGCACAGGCATTAAATAGGAAAAGAATCAGCTAAACAAGACTATAATACAGGATAAAGAAACATCAGATGGCAGGAATATGGAAGGGGCAGAGATAAGAACAAGTTAGAACATCTATTGGAACCTGTAAGCAGGTCACTCACCCAGCTTCCTTTTCAAAGCCAGTCAGCTCTCTACTCTGGGTTTCCAGCCAGTTTATTTTTCCTGGGGCAAACTTGTCCCCAAAGAAACAAAATGAACAATAAAACGTAAGTATTCAAAATAACAAATAGACAGATAAACCAAACCTTCAGTCCTTCCTAAGACCCTGAGAGGGCAACGAGGCTCTATGCTTCTGCCTCAGTACCAGTCATCTCTCCTCTGAACTCTGGCTCCTGGAGCTTTCAATAACTCCTAATTCACTCATTAACTGCAGCTACTACCAGTCTTTCAGCCAGGCAGACTCTTAACTGCTGACTACAGGCAGCTAGGTCTCAGCTGAGCACCTCCTTAACAGTGCCACAGTCTGATAATACAATCAATTAAAAGATCAATTCTAATATCTAATCTGGTTAGGAAACTGGATAAGATCAGAAAGAAACAACTGAGAAGTCTGTATATTGACAAAAGGAATCTGGGCAAGAAAATGAAACAACAAGAACTGGTATAGAACAAAAAACAAGTATCACAGACATATTAGAAACAAGGCAGAATAGCAAGTGTGACCAACACAGGTATTGAAGGCCACACACTCCGTAAGACAGAACTAGATGTAAAGGTTGAGGATACCATTGGGCATTGATATTTTTATTTCACTGTAATCTACCATGTAGCATGGATAAAACAGAATCAGGCCGAGTCAAAAATCACTTCGAGAAAGATTGCAGAAGAAGTCCTATTGGTATGGTTTTAGACATCTGCTATCAGAGCTGTGGCCAGGCATTTTGGCAGCTGGTGCCAGCCGTGGGCAGTGTATCCCCCTACACACTATTAAGATTACTTCCATTTGATTTGGCACCACTGGCAGCAGAAGAAAATATTATTGGGGGGGGGGGCGAGTAAATATTATTTGGGAGGGTTAGCCCCCAACCCTCCCTCCTGCAAGGCTGTTGGTGAGAGCTGGTGTTGTGTACGGCCATGGAGGAGAGGCACCAGGCACTATGGGATGGCAGCACTGTGGTGCTACTGCTGTCACCAGCTGCCATGAAATTAGTTTGGGGAGCTAAGCCCCATTAGCCCTGGCCTTCCACCGCCTATGTTTGGCACCCCTCGTGTGAGAGCTTCAAGTGCCAATGTATCCCTGGCACTACCCTTCCTACAGTTTTGTCTACTATAGACCTCCATGGCTAGAGCTAGACATGAATAGCAGCAACTGTATATTCAAGGACAACTAACTTCACAAATACAAACTGGAGTACAAATGCTACAAATAATGATATCCAGGAATATCAAAGCCTTAATACAGTCACAACAAATGCATTCCCCAAATAGTCACTGAACTAGTAGGACTATTTTTGTTACATTTTGGTAAGCAGTGAGGATATTTACAAAAAAGCTGGTGTAGAAAATAACTTTGGAATAAGTACACAAGTTGATTTGATTTAAAGTAAATAGAAGGCTAACCAAAGAGTTCTGTAACAAAGGATTTTCATTTCAAAGGGACTAAATTTGAAAAACTAATGGAACTAGATAGTGAAGAAAGCTCAAGATTTAAGTGAAAGATTCAAAAGCTATCAGAAATTTGCATCCCAAGAAAGAAGAAAACCTTATTCAGAAAGGAACCAGAGCCAGCTGAATAAAAAATCACCTCATAAACGACTTTTCCACTCTTGAGGAAGGGCTTTTTGTGCCCGAAACCTTGTCTAACGTCTCTCCCAACTGTACTGTTGGTCCACTGGAAACCCTGATTCTTACCTATCCCCTGAGTTATCATGGTTACAACACCACCATTTCATAAAGGACATCTGGAGTAAGCAGAGAGTCTACAAGGAAGCAGATAAAAAGACTGACCATCTAGGAGCACTGTCGTCAATAGCAGAAGGTGTAGGGATCGAGTGAGACTTGCCAAGAGTCAAGTGAAGCTAGACCTAGCAAAAGAAATTAAACAGTAACAGGTTCTCTCACCATACTGTTAAAAAGAGAGCAAGACAAGAAATTATGGAATACCTATTCAGTGAAGACTTGATGGAAATTTAAAAAAATATCACATAGAAAAACATGGGAGTTGGTGTTACAGACACTGAACAATATTGGGTGTATCTACATGTGTGCTTTACTGCACTTGACTAATTACTCCACAGTAAAGTGTCACAGTCTACATGTGCACTGGTATTAGGGTGCACTAAATTAATTAACTCCCTTGTAGGTTAGTACTGTCACCAGCAGTACTATCCTACAGCGGAGTAATTATGTGCAATCAAACGCATGTCTATACTGTGACAGGGGCTGGCTGGGGCATGAAGGAAATAAAATGTGGGGGCTGCCTGCTGCCTAGCCCTGCACTTTAGTACCCTTGTACCCCAGACAGCCCCTCTGCTGCCCAACGGTGCCACCCACAGCCTGGGGCTGACTGCTGTAAGCCCCCTGCCAACCCAAGGCTGTTCCACCCCAGCTCAAATGGCATATGTAAAGCATCCATTCAGTAGCGCAAACTGCAAAGTCATGCATTTAAAGGCCTATAAGAATTTTGGTATATGCAGCAGAAGTGATGAATCAAAAATATTGATCTCAAGTACTGGAAGATCACAATACGACATCTGGAATTTTATGTATAATTCTGGCACCAATATTTAGGAAAGATTCACTCAAACTGGAACAAGTGCAGAGAATGGATAGGAGGATGTTCATGGGAATCAAGGAATTGTAAGGTTAGAAAAAACCTCAAGGGTCATCTGGTTCAGTGCCTAGTAGAATGGAAAACTGATCCGACAGGAATGAGTAAATGAATTTGGCTGGCTTGACTTTGCAAAACAAAGGCTAAGAAAGGATACTCCTGTTCTCTGTAAATGTATCAGGGAGTAAACAGCAGAAAGGAAGAAGAGCTATTCAAGTTTAAGAATAATGTTGGTACAAGAACAAATAGCTGCAACATGGCATGAATATAGGCTGGAAATTAGACAACAGCTTATAACAATTGAAGAAGGGAGATTCCTGACCTTTCCATTATGAGTAGAAAAGGTAAGTAATCTACCTAGTTTTGTGGCATTTACTAAATGTATATCCTTATGGCACATCCCAACGAATCTGAAAATTTTGCTAAATACCTGTCACAAGGACACAAAAAAGGAAAAGAAAGACTATATTTATTAACAGGTCTTAAATGATGCAATTCCCTGGCTTTACCTAAGACTGAATAAACTCTTTTTGCCAGAAGCAGTGTTTTTATTTATATTTATACAGAGCTTAGTACAATGGGTTCCTTAAAAGGGTTAGTACTTGTTATTAATGTAATAAAAAGTAAATTAATGTCAGTGTGAGTTAAGTGCTTGTTTAAGTGCTTTGTTGAATTGGGATATTTATTACAATTTTACATAATTAGCCCATGTTAATTTATTATGTTTGCTATATAAGTATTATTATACATACTTTAAAGATGGGAGAGATGAGATGCAGAAATATTAGGGACTTGCCCAAAGCTGTAAGAGGAGTTCCTGTCCAAGTAAGGAAGAGAATTCACTATTTTCTGGTTCTTAAAAGAGGTAAGGATTTCTTAGAGTGACATATCTTTGGGCTCAAGCCTGGTGAAGAATGGCTTGCATTCAAAAGCTTGTCTAATAGGGCTGTGTGAAGCTTTGGTCCCTGATTCGATTCAGCGGAGATTTGGCCTGATTCAGTGGCTGAATCTCTGAATCCGAATCGAATCAGAGGACACTTTAATCTCTCCAAATCAAATCGGAACCCTCCGAATTGATTCAGAGAGATTTGATTTGGAAAGTTTTAGACATAGACACAGCTTTAAATGTTTTTTCTACATACTTCTAGGTAGCGGGCAGCTCGTGAATGCTGTGATGCTGGGGTGCATGGAGTGTCCCACAGAAGCACGTGGGGTTCCCCAGCACACTTGGCAGCAGACTGGGAAGTGGACCAGAAGCACTTCCAGTCCACTTCCAGGTCCACTGGAGAGTGTGCTGGGCAACCTCCCACGCCTCCCTGGCTCAGTGACTGGTGCCTCCTAGGTCTGGGGTTGCCGAGCCATGAGCGTGGGGGGGGGGGCCCTGTACACACCCCATTGGACCTGGAAGTGGACTGGAAGTACTTCTGGTCCACTTCCAGTTTCACCACCAAGCATATGGGGGGGCCCCCTGTGCTCCTGTGGGGATGCTCCATCTGTCCCAGCAGTGCAGTGTTCACAAGCCATGCTAGTATCCTGAGGTATGTAGAAAAAACATTTAAAGCTGTATCTATGTCCGAATTGCTGATTCTCTGAATCAGCATCCAATCTTCAGATTCGGATTCAGCCAAATCAAATCAGGGACAGTGATCTGAATCAACAAACTGAATCACCATCCCCAATTTAGGCTGAAACCAAATAGAATAGGGTCCACTCTGCACACCCCTATTGTCTAACTCTATCCCAGCTATGCAGTTGGTCCAATAAAAGATATCACCCTAAGAAATCCTTGCCTCTTGCATAATTCCTGGGCCATCACAGGTACAACATCACTCTAACACTACCTAGTTCTTAAACTCATTTTCAGACCACTAAACTGGACTACTTTGAAAGATAAAAACAAGTTTTCCTAATCTATCAGTAACTTACTTTGTTTTTAAATTTCTTAAGTTCAAACTGTAGACTGTCAATATATCCATCCAAATCTCCACTGAATTTTATAATATTATCATTCTTCTTTTTTTCACAAATTAAGAGAGTTGATTTAAGATCATGCAAGCTGTGAGAAAGGGTCTGATATAGGGCAAACTGCTCAGCTGGAATAAAGATAGCATATAATCTTGCAATACAACAGAGTTGGGAGAGATTGTTATATTGAGCCTCCAGTACTGGTAGTGATTCAGAAGTTTGGTTCAACAAAGTCAAATGCTCAATAAAATCTTCTGCTGTTGTTAGCTCTTTGTTCAGCTTTGTAAATGCTGAATGGACCACCTAAGATAATTGAAATATTAATTAGAATTTTTTCCATTATAACACGTTACAACACACTATAAAACAGACCCTAACTTTCAAAATCTCTACAGTTTTTATAGCTTCTCTGGGTGTGTCTACATGTGCATTTGATGTGGGAGCAGTTTACTTACAAATAAACACTCCCAGGCAGGCAGCTACACATGCAGGCAAGCAGGAGCAGGTTTGCTGTTAATGGTAGCAAACTGCTCCCACTTCCTGGGGCCCTGCAATGGGCACCTGCTGCTACCAGGGTGAGCTCTAGGTTCCCCCTGGGTGCTAGCCCAGGGGCTGGCAGGGAACACTGAGCCAGGAGACAGCTGTCTCCTGGTTGGGTTGGGACACTGCATATCCCAACCCCTGCTCCCTGATCATGATCTCTGAGTAGGGGACTTGAAGCTCCGCACTGCCAGGGCAGGGGAACGTAGTCACCACCTGGGCTTCGGTGGTGGAGCCCACCCTGGCAGCAGGCAGCTACCAAGGACAGGAAGCAATCTCCCACCCCCTGGTAGTCAGCCAATGGGAAGAGGATTTGATCCCGGTCAGGTGCCTACATGAGAGCTACTGCACAGTAAGTAATTGCAAGTAAATATGCTACTTGCATCTGCAGGTAGCAAATTTACTCGCAGTCAGCGAGGTTTACTGTTCAGTAAAGCATGTGCACACGTAGATGCACGTTTACTATGTAGTAAACTATGCTACTGCACAGTAAATCATCTCGTGCAGACACATCCTCTGTTTTACAATCATAAGATTTAAAGAAAGATTAGAACAATATAGTTAATAAAATAACAACATAAAATTTATTTTGGCTGAAGATGGAGGGCCAGCTACTTCACATTTTTCTGACAATATTAAGTAATCCATTTTAAATACCTACACAACCACGGTACAGAAAAGCACATACTTGTGTATACAAAAGAATTAAGGCCAAAGCATTTTTACCTTGAGAGAGAAGGGGAAAGCTGGGCTATGGAATGAGTTGCCAAATAAAATTATACAATAAATTCAGTAGTTCTCAATCTTTTCACATTGTGACTGACCCTGGTTTACAACAATAACAGCAAATTTCGCTTCTATAGAAAAAGGGTACTATAATAAAAGATGGTGCTGCCTACCCTCCTCAAGACCACTTTGTAACTCAGACACTCAGGTTAACATGTGACATGGATTAACTCTGACTGATTTAAGAATTGGTTGCAAAGCCCTCCCCTTTATAAAGTTACAATTACTGTTATAAAAACAATTTTCAAGATGCCCCATGTACCCCAAGCATATCTTCCTAAAATTTGGGAAGAAGAGAGAATACAATGCAACATACAATGCAACATACAGCCTGCCATGAATCTTGCTATCCAGAATTCATTTATCAGTGCAAAACTTATAAAACAGGAGGATGGATTCTGTAAAATAAACTGCTACAGTTACCAAAGATAATAGGAAAAGTAGCAATGGGCTTCAACTACAGCAAACAAGAATTATTCCAAATCTCAGGAAAAACTTCCTAACCATAAAAATAGGAGAATGGAACAAGTTATTTAGGGAAGTTTCATCACATTTGCTAGAGATTTTCAAGAGGCCTGAGGGATGCCTATCTGAGATGGTCATAGATGGGGGTGGCCATCCTGCAGCAATGTACCCCAAGTGGCACAGGCAGTTGCTGTGTGTGGGGGATGCAGTAGACCAGGGAAGGAACAGTGGCAGATAGAGCAGGAAGAGGAAAGCAAAGCAGCAAACCAGACAGGGAGCACAGGGTAGGAAGCAGAAAGCAGAGCAGCAGATCAGGCAAGAGAACGGGATTAGAGTGGCACTCGGGGAGGATGCAAGGTTAATTTGTGGCCTGCTTGCCAAAAGGGTTGGCCCGCAATGGTTTAGGAACAGCAAGTCCTGAATCTGCAGAGGGGTTGCACTAGGTGATCCTTGAGGTCCCTTCTAACCTCATGATTTTTAGATTGGTAAATAAAAACACAAAGCTGGAAATCAGAAAAGAAAGCAAATTAATCAATTTCCAAGAAAAATGTGATAAATATGGAAACAAAAAAATGCAGAATCCCATATGACATTTTAGAGTAATTTTTCAAAAAAACTATACTTTAAGGTTTTCATTCAGAACTCCAACAATTAGTACTCCATAATTGTCCAATAACCTTATTGCCACAAAACAGTATTTGATCACAGGATATTGCTGATTTATAAATATATGGAATAAAATCATGCAGTATATTTTCATTCATTTACCCCTACATATCTGTTTAATAAAATTTATCAAAGCCACTTACATCTAAAAGATATGTATTCCTTGCTTCAATTAGAGTATTCAGAGATGAACTTATTATATTAAGCAGGCCTTCAAAATATGGCAGACAGTCTGTCTGATAGTTAAAACTTTTGACCTTAATCATATGGATTCGTCTTTCGGTAGTCATGCATATTATTTCTTTGATATCACATGTATACTTATCTAGAATATTCCTAAAATCATCAGAAGACAATTCTCTTTGTAGTTTTGAGATTCTGATATTCATAATTTTAGCTTCATCCACTATCTTACAATACTGCATAAAGTTTCTGCTGTAAGATTCAACTTGTGCCATTGAGCTACTAAGAACAGACAGAAGAGTCACAATCTGTGGATTAAATATTGTAAAATAAAGTTAGATATTGTAAGAAAAAGTTACAAAATATCATTGACACCATTAAAATTATGTTCAATTTTCTCTGTGATTAAGGTATCCAGTGATATTTTTGTAAGTGTATATCATTTTCCAAGGTATTATCATAGAAGTATATAAGCTGAACTTTTGCAGAAAACCATGGAATTATACTTTCTAATATTTAAGTTTGTATGCTGTATATCTCATTTGTACCTTCCTCCTCAGATTCCTGACTAAAAAATTAATTCCTATACGACAGCCACAAAAAGTAAGCTAATTACATTTTTTCCAGGTGTTTCCAGTTCTGGGTTTCCCAGAGTATTCAATGCATCTCTTACTAGAAGGTTAATTTTTCAGGACAGGAACTTCCTCATTTTCTGTTTTGGCACTACTGAACACACTATTAGCACTTAACTATAGATTGATGTATATAATACTTTTATGACTAAAGTATGTTACTTAGCTACTTTTCCTGAATTGCAGCACGCACATTGTTTTCATAGCATGGATCTGTCCCTAGAATCAGTTCCCAATTTGGCCATGGTACCGGGTACTGCTTTTGGCACAACTCAGTACAACTTTCAGGTGACTGCATCTTTTTATGTAAACACTGAGTGAAGACCAACAGATGAGGATCCTGATTAAATGGAATAACCTGAGCTAAAAAGAAATTATTAAAAAGTTAATTGTATAAGAAGATTCCCAGAATTAAAATATAAAGAGATATATGACAAAAGAGCTATATAACATGCAGTCTCCACTGACGCAAGTACTACATCAGTACCTTCTTTTCTCCATACAACTGATTGTGACATTCTCTTAATTCTAATATAATAAAAGCCTTAGTCTGTCTGTCTGTAATGCTTTATTCACACTCTGATTGGTTGTCTTGGCAGCCAATCACAATGCTGACTGAAACAACCAATCAGATGGCTCCAAGAGCATTCCAGACAGGAGGCAATGGTAGTGGTGCGGCAAAGTGCTGCCATGACAGTGGGAACAGAGGGGACAGAGCAGGGGTGCTGGCTTCACTGCCACCAGCCCTGCTTCTTGGAAGCGATGGAGGCGCAGAGTGCTGGCGAAACAGTGCTAGCTTCACCCTGACAAGGAGGGGGAGGCAGCAGGGAAGAGGGGAGGAAAAGAGGGAGAGAGGGGGGCAGGATGAGGACTGTGGGGGTTTCCGGTGGCAATACCAGCTTGCCACTTCTGTGCCCTCCCCCCGTCTGCTGCCACCACTACCACCAGGCCCCAACAACAGCCGGCAGAGAGGGAGAGGCGGCAGTGTAGATGGGAGGAGAGAGGGAGGGGAGACAGGGTGGGGGAATGTTGCATGTGGCCAGACATAGTTTCAGAGTTTCATAGTTTCTAGGGTCGGAAGGG